GTGCTGAGCACCCCAGTGCAGGCTCTGTAAGGACAAACAGCACGTGCCAGCTGACCAAAAATAAACACCCAGCAGGGAACTTCGGTCTCCATTCATGGTGCCGCATCTGAACAGAATTAACTCAAGGAAACCAGTTTATTATTTGACAAATTCTGTCATATTTAAACCCACTTTAACATAAAGGTGATGCCCAGGCACAGGTTGCCCAGAGAAGCTGTGGCTGCCCCATCCCTGGGAGTGTCCAAGGCCAGGTTGGACGGGGCTTGGAGCACCCTGGGCTGGTGGAAGGTGTCCCTGCCCATGGCAGGGCTGGAATGGGATGGGCTTTAAGGTCCCTTCCAACCCAACCCAAGCTGTGATCCTATATTCCACTGCTTATAATAGATTTAAAAATCACACTTACCATTAATGGAATGTCCACAAACCTGATCCTTACAGAAGCTCTGCATATTAAAAGGAACCTACATTTAAATGTACATACACTTTATAATTCCAATTCAACCTCTGAAAAATTCCAAGGCCCTCTCTGCAAGCCAAAGGACATTTCTTTTCAAGATCTGTGATGAATGAGATCCAGACCCAGGACTGTTTCATAAAGAATCATCCATGCCAAAATCTTCATCCAAAGAAAAATTCCAGGAACAATTATGAGAGTTCTGAATATCAAAGGATAAATCACTTTAAAAGTACCTGTCAGAAGATATTAAAAAGCAGGCATCTAAAATAATTTCTAAAATATTACTAAATGAGTGATTTTTGGATTATCTTTTTAGTATTTAATATAACCTGTGATTTAGTGCTAAAAGATTCCAATGAGTTTACTCATTTTAACATGGAATTTAATCATCAGAGTTTAATTCCTCTACATAATCTGACCCTGCAACAGGGTGAGATTCAAAGGGGACAGTGCAAACAACAGCAAACGCTGCAGAATTTCACTGAAAAACATCTTAAAACTCATCTGGGCTCTTTCCTCTCTCTGTCCCCACCTCTTCTGAACTTCTCCAACCCTCCCAATCAGACAGAACCAAAAATTCTTGGCCTCAGAGGTTACACCACGGCTCAAATTTGGCTCCAGGTATGAAGTTGTTCAGAGCAAATTTCCTCTGTCAGCTCTTGCCAAAAGACCCGGTGCAGGTGCCCTGCCTGGTCTGTCCAGCCTGCCCCTGCATCCCTTCAGCTGCTGGGATCCCTATGGGTGCCCAAACATTCCCAAGGGATGTGGGAGCAGGGGAGAGCTGAGCTCCACCAGTGCAGACGGAGTATTTTGGAACTGGGGTGAGGGTGGCAGGGCCAAGGGAGGGGTGGTAGAGGTGGACCCTGCTTACAGCCACTAAGGAGAGATGGATTTGGCCTCTTCTGAGCCCAAGACAAAACCTGAGTGTGCAGGGGGTGACAGATCCCACCTGGTGCATCTGCTGAGCTCCAAGGAAGGTGCTGCTGCCCCGGGGTTCCTGCCAGGCACCTCGGCCCTCACCACTGCCATGCAGGAAAAACATCCAGTGGAAAAGCTGGATGGACCAGAGCCCTGAAGACTCTCCTTGACTGGGCTCTGGATCCCTCAGGTACTGAGGAGTGACCAGGACAACTCTCGGTGGCATCCCAAGCAGAACAGCCCAACTCAACGAGCACTTCTGTGCTAAAAACAATCCTCAGCTGAACTTTGATGTACCTAAAACCACTTCTGTTAACCCTGAGGAGCAGAGATCTTGATGAAAAGGCAGCAAACTGGCACAGGTGTCACAGAGGGTGTGCACTCCCCATCCCCAGAAGCGTCCAAGGCCAGGTTGGAGCCACCTGGGCTAGGGGAAGGTGTCCCTGCCCGTGGCAGGGGGTGGAATGAGAGGAACTTTGAGGTTCCTTCCACCCCAAACCATTCTGAGATTCTGTAAAACATCACAGGGCTGAGCCAGTGACCCAGTGACAGTGTCTGTTTAAAGAACACACAGGATGAGACTCAGGTGACCCACAATGCTCACACATCAAACCACTACAACACTTTATAAAGGGAAAGAGCCTCTCAGACCCCAAACCAGCCCTCCCTGGACCCCCTCCACACTCAGGGCTCCCTGGGAGTGTTATGACCCACCCCAGAGTGGGAGGATAATCCCGGTTTTTGGAAATAAATCCCTTGGGGTGGGTTAGAGTGAGAGGTGTTTGTAAACATATATAGTGGGGTTTATTTCAGAATGAGGTAATAAGGTCTGAAAGGCAAACAGGTCTGTTGCTGTTTTGGGTGTTACCATCTACAGCAATTCAACAATAGTTGAGCATAAAAATAACACTTGAGAAAATGTGTAAGGGAGAGAAAGGGAGAGAAAGGATAAGGGTGGAAAGATATATATACATATATATGATGATAAGAATGGCATGATAAGAAGGATTTGCCTCTTCCCTTATCTGGCAACCCAGTTTGTAGCTTTAGGTGTGCATCTGCACAGCACGGTTGGACCATGATACCCACTTATCTGATCTGAAGGTCCTTTCCCAGTGGGAATATTCAGGAAGGAGGGGCTTTGCTGGGAGAGCAGTTGTTTCTTTGCAGTTTGTAGAAGTCTTTTGGTGATCTTCCAATGATTAAGCCATTAACCATTTCAGTCCCTGACTGAGCTGCACCCCAGGATGGTTGAGGGTGTCCCTTGTCCCCTTTGCTCTGCTCCAGGAGGGTGGCACATCAGCATTTTCCAACTCATCCACTAAACTGAGCTGACCTGGGCCACTTGTCTGTTTGCTTTTGTGGGATCATTTAATAGAATCAGAGAATCAGCCGGGTTGGAAAGGCCCTCTGAGATCATCCAGTCCAACCCTTGATCCAACCCTGCCATGGTTCCCAGCCCATGGCACTGATGCCACATCCAGTCTGTCCTTGAACACCTCCAGGGTTGGGGAATCCACTCCTTCCCTGGGCAGCCCATTCCAATGGCTGAGCACTCTCCCTGGAAAGAATTCCTTCCTCATATCCAACCCAAACCTCTCCTGGCAGAGCTCCAGACCGAGCCCTCTTGTCCTACTGCTGGTTCCTGGGAGAAGAGACCAACCCCCACCTGGCTCCCCTTCCTGTCAGGGAGTTGCAGAGAGTGCTGAGGTCACCCCTGAGCCTCCTCCTCTCCAGGCTAAACAACCCCAGCTCCCTCAGCCTCTCCTCACAGCACTTGTGCTCCAGTCCCTTCCCCAGCCTCGTTGCTCTTCCCTGGACCTGCTCCAGTCCCTCCATGTCCCTCCTGACCTGAGGGGCCCAATTTCATTGTTTTTCTTCTAATTTCGTGCCCATATGCAGAGCCTGTTGAACACAAGCTTGAGGCTGTTTTCATCCCAGGTTTAACTGGAGTTTGCTGGGCTCAGGTTGCCTCTCCTTGCATTACTGCACGTAATGAGAGCAGAGACAGCCCTGAACGTTACTCAGGCTGCACAGAGACTGCAGTGGCAGCTGGGGAGCTGTGCTGGCTCGGGCTGTCAGCAGCATCCCCAGAGAGAGGAGCCAGCCCGAGCTCCCAACACAAATAACTGTTTGCATGTGCAGACAGGCCCGGCAGGCACAGCCCGAGGTGAGTGCAGCCCTCAGCACAAAGCACCTGCACAGAGGAGGGTTTGCTGCAGTCCTTCAGGAAGCTTTAAAGACAAACCCAAATGCTCCCCTAATAATGTGAACACAAACCAATTTACATTTATCATTTATTCTGTAATTAATTTGGGGCTCCAGCTGTATCAAAGTGATCAAACTCTCTAGATTTCCATGCACTAACAACCATCAACTCCCCATTCCTAACATTCCCCTTTTCCACTCTGAGCTCCCCCTGTTTTTACCAGAAGCTTTAGGGCCACAAATCTCAGGTATCCATCAGTCAAAACTATGTTTCCCATCTGGCTCTTTTGGTCAAACTCAAGCCCAAGGAGACCTTTGCACCAACACAAGCCTAAAAACACCAGAAAACTTGCTCAGTGCACAAGAGAGGAAATCACCACAATTACAACAACAGAAATTAATAAAGCTGTTGTGCCTCTGTCAGTGAAATAATGCTTGCTGGCAGCATTCAGCAGAGACAGCTGCATGGACATCTTCTGACTAAAGCACAGAAGGGCTTCCCAGGAGTGCAAACTGGGCCAGTTTTTATCGTCCAGGTACAGACCCTGCCAGTGGCGTTGATGAGGGTCCAGACATTTGGACTGACAGTTCTCTTTGCACTCTTTTTCAGGTTCCAGGAGGTTCTTTCCAACTGCAGTATTAACACAACAATACCCCATTTTCCACATCCAAGGGGATTTGGGCTGTGTTTATGGGGAGCAGACACCTGCACTCATCAGGGCAGGAGCTGCTGAAAAGCAGCAAGAGGTGTTGCAGATGAAAGCACGTGGGGATTGACACCGCATAGGAGCTGAGTGATGGAGACTTCCAGACTGTGCCATCTCTTCATGGCTTTAGCTCCACTTTACCAAAGCTGATTCACTCTGACACACCTCAGTGATTCTCAGGGACTCAACAGAGCCAGTTCTGTAACTCAACCCAGCAAAGTCCCTCTCCCATCTGCAGGGTGAGATGCACCAGGTACAAGCAATCAACAGCTCTTGGGTGGAACACATCTCTCTGATTCAGGAGGGACGACTTCCCAGTGCAGTAAGTTCATGATGCAATGGGACTGAGCTGTGGGATTTAACACAAGAATAATTACTGCCCTACTCAGGTATTCCTCAAGGTTACAGCAGCTCTGTGAATGTAATCACAGTACTTACAAGTCTACACATTTGTGCTGCACACAGAGCTTAAATTCCTGCTCCACCCTGGGACTGGGTCACAGCCAGCACTCGGATCAGTGACAGCAGCAGCAAATTCCACCCATTTATCCTGGAGCATCTCCATATTCCCCTGTTTGGATCTGACTACAGAAAACTGTGGCTTTATGGACTGCCTGCTTTTGAAGTGCTTCTGAGACAAAGACAGAAGAAGAATTGTGCCCTCCTGCTTGCCTTTCCAGGGCAAGAGAAGCTCTGCCTCCCACACAAGAGTCTCTTGGTGGCCTCCCCGTCCTGCCACAGCCAGAGCACAGGAGCAGCACCAGACCATCAGCCCAGCTCTGCCAGCACCAGTCTGCACTGCTGACAATCCCAGATGGAGAAAGGCAGGTGTATTTGCCCCTCCACCTCAGCCAGCTGCCCTCTGCCTCCCCTGGAGCTGCTCACGGGTCATGTGTGGGATCAGGACACCCTGGACAGGTCCTGTCTGAGCGCTGCAGAGGAAAGGCCAAAGCTTAACAAGCCCAAAAGGAAAAATAAATCTGAGCCTAACAGGTCACAGGATCCCAGAATCTGCTGAGTTGGAAGGGACCCACAGGGATCATCCAGTCCAACTCCTGGCCCTGCCCAGACACCCCAACAACCCTGTTCTGTCCTTGAGTGTTGTCTCTGAGCTCTGGCAGCCTTGGGGCTGTGCCCACTGCCCTGGGGAGCCTGTTCAGTGCCAACCACCCTCTGGGGGAAGAACCTTTGGCTGAGATCCACCCTGAGCCTGCCCTGACACAGCTCCAGCCATTCCCTGGGGGCTGTCCCTGCTCACAGAGCAGAGATGGAGCTGCCCATCCTGAGGAAGCTCCAGAGGTCTCCCCTCAGGCTCCTCCTGTCCAGCTGAACACACCAAGTGCCCTCAGCCACTCCTCGTGTGGTTTCCCATCGAGGCCATTCCCCCAGCCAGTGCTCAGCTCTGAACATTCCAGGGTTTTCCCTCCAGACCCTGAGCCAGGAGCTCGGGGGTCGCTGTCAGCTGGAGAAGGGCAGCACAGCTCCAGCAGAACATCAGCACCTGCCAGCACTGGGGATGGTTACAGGGCCAAACCAACATCCCACCCAGCACGAGGCAACAGAAACACAACCCCTGTCACTTGCACTGTGATTAATTTCCCCGATAATAACGAGGCAGTGGCCTCTAGTGGTTAAAGGCCCAGCAGGTCCCTCTGCAGGGAACTCCTCGTGGCCTTTGGCTTCTCCCCTCTTGGAGCTCCATAAAGCCACCGAGGGGCTCATCATGCACTAAATAAGCCCAGGGTGCTCAAATGTTTTCAGACACCTGGGCCCCAGCCAGCACACACTCATGCCCCTCTTGCAAGGTTAGAACTTTTTATTTCCTAAGTCACAAAGACCCAGGGTTGTAAGGACAGAACAGCCAGGGTGTGGAAAAGGCCATGGTCAACCCTTCACCTTGTGGAGAAGCTGCTGGGAGAGGCCCATGATGTGGAATATTCTAGCTCTGCTTCCCAAATGTCTCTTTAAATTAAAGGACATCAAGCTACTCTCTGTGAAGACTCCTGAAATCAGCTCAAATCGTGCTCATCCTAAAACAAAGGGGGTCCAGGGGATCCAGCACATCACAGGATCATACATATGGAGTACTCTGAGACTCTATGGAACATCAGTGCCCTGCTTTACTATAAATTACTGTATTATCAATGTCTTTGGGCTGGGTTGGGAAACAAAGGAAGAGTTTTTTGGTTCCACATGCAAATCACACTGTTCTGAACAACTTAATCGAGAGTGCCAAAGCCAAGAAAGGTCTGTGAGACTCGAGCTCTGCTGCCAGCTTAGCCCAGAGCACAGGGGCACTGCAGATCTGGGAGCCACTGAAGCTTTCTGGCTTTTCCCCAGAAAAGGGACAGTCCACAGGACCAGCTCAACACAGTTCTTAAAAACAAGTTCTTACAAAGATTCCAGATACTGAATTAAGCCATTATCATCAGGTTCCCAATTAGAGTGGCCACGACAGCATGACCAGCTCAGGGATTTGAAAGATCTCCGCTAGACAATGTTTTGACTAATGCCAAGTGCACTTCTCAAAGTACAGCTCATTTCTGCCCAGGTTCAAGTGACTGGATCCTGGACACATTACCCCAGGTGAGGGTGATTAAAAATGCTGTAATTAATAGAATTAGACCAGATGAATACTCAGTGTAACTAAACTCATCCAAGGCATGTAACCCACAGTAAAACAAGAGCATGTAACACAAATACTGTCTGAAACCAGAAGGGATGGAAATTATTTTAATCAGAGCTCTCTACTAAGAGAATGTCATCCAGCACATACATATATATATATAAAATACTCTCAGCTCATTGCAAAGCTGGTGGATTTCCAAGCAATAAGGATTGGGATACATGGGGACATGTTATAGGAAACTTGATGAAATGCTAGAGCTGAGAGAAAATCTTCTGACCTAGTGGGAGTCCTGGAATTTCTCAGAGCATTGCATATTTCTGCTGCATTTCAGCCAAAAGCAGCAGGCCAGCCTTCAACATTAAACGTTTCTCCAGAGCACTTGCAGCCTCTGCAGTGGAGACAGAAAGCCTAATCACATTTTAATTGAGCCAAATCAGACTTCCAAATTCAACAGCGTTCAAGAGATATTTCCTCCAATTAAAACATGAAACCACTGGGCCCTTCTGCATGAGCAAGGAGCTCAGAAAATACAGACTGGAGGGTTTAAATGTGACCATCTGACGGGGTGCCCATAAAGAGCCTCCCTGGCAGTGCCTGCTCTGCAGGGCACTGGGTTTTCCCACTCCAGGATTATGCAACCTCCCAGGACAGCTGGGATTCCCATTAGCTGGTTGTAAACACTGGTCATCTTTCCCACTGCCCTGTTTTTTCAGACTCTTCCCTGTGGGGAGAGGCTGAATGAGGCTGGTGCTGAGATTGCCACGGGGCCAGGGAGGAGATTTGCTGGAAACAAGCAGGGCCACACAGTTATGTTTACATGATGAGATGGACCTAGAAAGGGCTCCTGAAAAGACTGACACTTGTTAAACTGAGACCTTGTGGGGTTTTCACTGCAGAGCACTTGACCTGTTGTAAATGCAATAAAATTTTAAATAACCTCCTTTTAATCCTACCCCTCTTAGGTCACTGTAGCTGTCCCAACAGACCTGCAGGATCATCCCACAGACTCCTGCCTGCCCCTGCCATAACACAATTTTGACTCCCAGCACGCAGATCACCCCACTGAGCTGAGGAACGAGGATCACTGGTGGGAACAGGTTTTAAAGTGGGACACTAGAAACCTGCCATTGTGCAAGGGATGGTTGAGTTCCAGTCTGATTGAAGCAGATGTGCTGTTTCCAGTGGCCCACTGTGTGAAACCAGTCCTGTTTTAACCCCTGGCAGAGTCGCTGCCAGCACGTTTCTGTGCAAGGTGAGGTTGGAAAATATGAACCTCACACATCTCAAGGCCAGGCTGGACGGGGGCTTGGAGCAACCTGGGGGTGGTGGAAGGTGTCCCTGCCCGTGGCAGGGGGTGGCCCTTGGATGGGTTTTCGGGTTTCTTCCAACCCAAACCAGTCTGGGAGTCTGTGATTTCAAAAACCATGCACTGTCCAACAGCTCAAATGCAGGGACAATGATGACACACCCCCTCAATTCTCTCTGTTACCTGAAGGAACGAGCATGGGTTTGTCTAAGACCGAGTCGTGTTTATAAGTGGTCTGAAAATGCAGTGACCACAAACCCAATTCAGATTCTGATAATTTTGTGATAAATTTGATAAATGCTTTTATCTCCTACTCTAGGCCTCTTTTCCTCTCATTCTTTTCCTTTAAAAAGAGGAAAATAGGCAATTCTCCACTCAGTGAATAATGTCCTTGTGAGCAGCAGGTGCTTCTAAGACACCCAACTTTGCACTCCACTGCTTTGACAAAAGCTGAGAGGGAAATCATTTCCCTGATCATCATATGACCAAGTTTAAAGGAAATCTATCATGTGGTTGGAGCCAAGCATTGCTATTTCCTCCATGAAAATGGAAACATTAAATCATACATTTTTCTTGCATACCACATTTTGAGAGGTCTGCATTCTCTCACGTCTCAGGCTCAAATGTTCCCAACAACTAAAGCTGGATATAAAAGCATTCAACCCTTGAAGCACTCCCACCTCCAGCAACCCAAAAGACACCTCAGTTCTCCTTGTAGCCTTGTTAATCCAATATAAATAACTTGGGCTGTTCACTGGAGGTTTCTTCTCTCAGTGTGCTCATTTCACTGTTGGCCTTGGCAGAGATGTCCAGGTTTAGAATGAAAGATAGCAAAGAGCTGACAAACCTTAAATCCCAGCACTGCAGAATCCTGTTAGGTAACAGATGGAAAGGATAATTAGCCCACAACTCAACCATCACATGCTTCATTAGGAGCCCTATTCCTGTCACACACACACACATTCTCTCCCAGATTTTATCTCCAGGACAATACAGGCCATTGTTTACCTTGAGCTGGTAAAAACCAAGGCAAGCTCAGGAGATCTGCAGAGGGAACAAGCCTATATTCTTCTCTCTTTCCAGCTGTAAGGTGGTCTGGGATTGCTGTGTCCAGGAGTTTCCTCATCAGCCTCTCTGCTAGGAGGAGTTTTACAGTCCTTGGTGGCAGGAGAAACTTAAACAGTTATCACGTAGTAGAATAAACACATGGACACAAACAGAGACCAGCAGCAATGGCAGCTTCCTCTTCACCTTCCATGCAGTCAAAACTTGGCCAGAGGTCTCTCTACCCCTGCTTATGGTCATAAGGAAACACTGAGAGAGACTTGGGTATCTGCTCCACAGCCCTGCACTTCCTGAGGGAACACTCCAAGGAAATGTCAATAGGTGAAACAGCTTTTAAACTGACATGGTTTGTTGAAATGCATTCATTATTTGCACAGGTCAGACCAGTTTTCCTCTAGAAACCTCTGGAAAAACAATAAATGTTATTTTCTAGGATTTGTGGCCTCCCCCTCCCTCGATGAGTTATTTATTGGTAGGACAAACCCTCACCAGCTGTCAGGCTCCAGCTCCTCAGTCCCACGTCTGTGTAATTTTTAGGATATTCTATAAGGGTGCTCATATTTACACTGTGTTTATAAACAGCTCAAGATTAATAACTGCACCTCCTGAAAGCACTGTGCACTGGTTTATCCACTGACACACAGATTATTGCAGCACAGGAACCCAATCAAAGCCCAGAACACCAGCTATCTGTAACACAGGAACTTTCAGGGAGGAAATTCC